ATTTTTGTAAAAAACGCAGAAAGAATAAATTTTAAAGTTGAAGTAATATGGGAAAATAAATCCATTTTTATTAATCCTCCGTAAATCAAGTGGAAAAAATCAATATAACGAACCATATGGGAGTATATCTCATACTTTATGTTATATCTTCATCTTAAATACTTAAGATAAAGATATAATATTAAAAGATTAAAGAGTTTATTCTCTTTTTATTATTTTATTTTATACCTTTAGAAACAAGAATCAATGTTACGACAGCCGTAATTACTTGTTTGTAAATTAGTATACATTAATTTAGTCATGATAATAATTCCGACTGTCATAACATCGATTCTTGTTCCTAAAGATTTAAAACAAAATAATAAAAAGAGAATAAATTCTTTAATCTTTTAAAACAAGAAAAAAATAATACTATTTTTTACAAACTAAACTTGCAACTCTTTTAGTAACAACTTTTTTGAAAAAGATCTTTGGAACATGTTTGAATCACAATCGTTAATAAAAATTAATTTATAAACAATTAGAAATAATTAAAATAAACTTATTCAGTTCAATCTTATTAATGAGATTATTTTTGGCTGACATCAAGGTAATTTTTGCATAAACAATGACCGTGTTCTAAATAGATGCTTTATACTATTCACATATGTAATTTGTTTTTCTTTCTCGAGCACGTAGAACATCGCTGATCCGATCAAATGATCGGATTCATCATCACTTCGAAGAAGAAAACAGTCAACTTCATTCTCACTTTTTTGCATAAGTGCTGTATTATATATCTTCAGCATGAAGTCGAGAAGACATTTCAAAACCTATGTACCTAGAATCTAGCATAAAACAGTAAAAATAACATAATATATAATATATAAAAAAAGTGATAAAAATCTATCGAGATTTAATGAAAATAGGCCAAAACTAACGAACAATTAATGAAGGTGACAACGTTTATTGAACTTATAGTACAACAAATAAAATTTTAAAATTTTATTCTTCTTTGTTCATATATGAGAAACTTGAAAATTTTATATTATCTTACACGGTAAGTCTTAACTTTTTCTTTATATACATTATTTTATTTTTATTTAATTGTGTCATTTTGAATCCATAGTTGACAATATTAATACGATGATATTAATTAATTTGATTATTTGACAAGTTTCACAATCTTTTAAACTGAATTTTCTTCACTCTGTTGGGACATTTTATAATGTGGGCGAAGAGACTGTTATGTGGGCGAAGAGTTCTTACTATTTTTTAATGTCTATTATTTTATTACTTTATCGTAGGTATATATAATTGACTTCCGTTTTTCTATATTAATTTATTAAGTTATTGTTTTATACCGACCTATGTGACTCACGTTTCTGATTATTAATTTGATTTAATGCGGCTGAAGAAGACTAACAAAGTAAAGTCGAAACATGTATCGCTTCTGTCCATTTAAAAATTTTATTTTTTATGAGATTCATACGCGCACTTCGCGTTAGGGCTGGTGATTTGCTTCGAAGGCTTCGGCATTCGAACTTTAAAGTTTCGAATCTTTGAAGTTTCGAAATTTCGAAAAATACATTCGTGCAAATGATAAATTTATTCAGAAAATTTACAAATATTGTAAATAAAAACAATTAATATACAAAATTATTCCTAAAAAAAAGTATTATAAACTGAAATGTTACAAATTAATAATTAAACTGGATACATGCGTGTAAATAAAGAAAAATAATGATCAATGAAACAATCTAATTAAAAAAATTTAAATTTTTAATGTATTTTTAAAAACTTTGAAACTTCGAAGCTTCGAAGGCACCTTAAATTTCGAAAAGTCAAAGTTAACGTCGAAGCTTCGAATATTCAAAGTGAGCAAAAAGTAACAGCCCTACTTCGTGCACGTGTACTCGCTACGTTGGCGATCGTTGAACTAAACCACTGTCATTATACATATAAACTGGCAATGTTATTTCAGCTACACGAAACGACAACTTGCGCGCAATATTTAAAAAAAATTGATAGTTAAAGAGTGACCTAAAAAAATCGTTTTTGGGCCCTCGATTTTGAGATTGAACTGTGTGTCAAATAATACTTTAATTACAATGAAACATTAATTATAGAGAAGTTTTAAGTTGAGGTGACAATTGTTATCAGAACTGGAGGAGGGGGAAGATAAAATCAAAGTTCATTACGGAATTATCACAGGTCTGCGAGATCCAGTATTTTAAGAAGATTGATTCAACCGATGAAGGTTGATCGCAGTTTTACATAAATGACGCGCGTTTTTCATGTAAAATAAATCGAGTTTTCGCGTAAAGAAACGTAATGTGATCCCCTCCAGCTGTGATAATAATTGTCATTTCAATCTGAAACTTCTCTGTAATTAATATCTTATACGGTATCATTTAGCACACAGCCCAGTCCCAAAAAATCGAGGGCCCAATAAACGGGTGAAAAAACCATCTTTTTCTCGGTCACTCTTTTGCTAGGGTATGTCACACCCTTTCTAGTTCACCGAGGGTTAATATCACATATTCGGCAACGTTGTGAGTTAGTCTATTGTTGCAGCAAGCCCTTCAATTTTTACAAAATTTCATATCAATAACGATGATTACATCCTTAATATAAACTGTGATAAACTGTGTATAGTACGATCAATACAACGAGTGTGATAATCGGCAAACAGTATACGCTGCTATCGTCTAACTTGTCGCTGGAGCATCGTTGGTTTAATAGTCGGACGAAAGAATTGTAGGATCGAATAACAAAATACGAGGGTCCGTCAGCGTCGGAGGAACTGGCTGAAATATTTATGGCGCGAGGTAACAGCGTGGCTCAATTATTAACGTTCTCAAAGTCCCGCGGACGTACCACACTCGCTCATAATATAGTGCCACTCGTTGTGATAAACAAACGGTTCGTCAATATCGCCTCGGTAATATCGATTTCGTACTTCGCGATCACTCGCGTACAATACACAAATCCGACAATGTCATCTTCGAGTCTGGCTCGTCGGGTCGTTGTTTAGATATGACGGACATTGATGGACCGATACCGTCGAAGACAATCGCAAATATTTAGTCTCAGAAGGGAGTCAAAGAGTTCCTGGTAGCAAAAATTAAAAATTAATTACGTTAATTTAATAATTAGTTAATCGAACCGAATCGTGAATTATAGTCCATATATACATGTAGTTCCGAAATTGTTTTGGGAAAAATAATGAGTTGATGATAATTTATAAATATTTAAATACTTGTGTTCAAATCGAAATATATTGCATAAAGTTACTTTACATTACAAAAAGAGATTTTGATCAATTTAATGATATTAAAAACTATAATATTTAAACATATAGATTTTAATTTTAATGTCAAGGAATTCTTTTCTTATAGATAATCTCACAGATATAATTTTTGTGAAATAGTTTAAAAATCAAATGAATTCTAAAAACCTTTTTTAAATGGCACGGAGTAACTAAATACTCTTACAGAAATGCAATTTAATACTGGTCAATTTAAGGATTACACATATATTTACAAAATAATGAAAAATTATGAAAAAATGACAGATTATTGTAAATCACATTTAAAAGTAATACAAAAAATTTAGCGACAGTTTACCATTTAGATCAAAAGGTAATTCAATAAAAAATAGTATTTTTTAAATCTGTGCTCTAATAGAAATTTATAATGTATGAAAATGACTAATAAAATAATGACATAAATCTCAATTTTTTAATATAAGTTTTTTATGTATTCAGAATAATTAATGTAAAGTTTCATTGCGATGATGCAGAAATCAAAGAGCTTTGTTCTGTAATTATATGAAATATTTATTTATTCTAAAACTTTGCATAAATTATTTTGAATTTTTAAAGTACTTACATAAAAAAATTTGAAAATTTGTCATTAAATTTTAGTTTAAGATAATAAAAATAATAACAAATAAAGTAAAATATAAAAATTCGTTGTTCAATAAATATAAAATATCATAAACTTTCATATGTATATAATTTATTTTTATTTATTTAAGTAGATATTAATACGTTTGTAAAAATAAGTACAATACACTCTAAATCCTGGAAACGAGTTATTTTGGGTATTACAAGTAATGAACAGCAGTGCTTTTAATACTCCAAATAAGTAATTAATCACCACCTAGTTTTCAGTATTAAATTTCTGTAAGGATACAGCACAAAGATTAGCAAGTAAGGTTAATTAAGCTGAGGGCAGTATTAATGATGCTGTCTACTGTCGTGTGCAGGGACAAATAGACACTAATATTTTCTTCTCGGGATATATTGGCTACATGTAAAGTATCAGATATGCTACACGGGACCAAGTACTGGCGCCAGGGTAACCACGAAATCCGAAACCAAGCGGTCGGCCCAATGAGTTCTATAATGGGCCAGTTGAGTAGAAGGAAAAGGTAGAGGAAGGAGAACTTCTCACGGCTTCCTCTTTTGAAAAGAGTGTGGGGTATATTGTATACATATATGTAAACAAAAGTATACACAAAATGATTTGAATATGTCATAAGGGTAATTTTGAGTAAACTCATTCATTTTTGTATTGTTAAGAAAATACGATATAGACAATGTGAAAATGTGAAAGAATATTTCTTATGTTATTCTGAATTTTTATTTGAAAATTTTTCTCACAATTAAAATATAAAAAACATAAACATAAATGCAACATACTTTTTATGTTTTATATATTTGTTATACTTTTATTGAATATAAATATTATATTTTATAATATATAACAATAGAATGAATATTTGTACTATTAACTTAACAATTAATTTCATTTGTAATTTTAATTAAATATATTTATTAATTTAATATAAAATATTGTAATTTACGTGAAAAAGTGATAAAATTCCCTTTCTCTATAAAAATTTAATAAAAGAGTTATAAATTTTTTATTTATTTAATTATCGTTATTTATGAATTCTTTATTTAAGGAAATAATAATTATTATTAAAAGAAAAGTAAAAAGTAAAATATTTCGTTTTATTATGGTACATAGTTTATTGCTGGCGACATTTTACACATTTTTGTAACGATACTTTATACAAAACTTTACAAAGGTTCTTAATTCTACTCAACGACACGTATTCAACTCAAAATTGTAATCATAATTACAACTTAATCGCGTTATTATTAGCTTACAAAAAAAAGAGTCATCAGTAAAATAATATTCTTTGGCTCAAAGTATGAATACCGACTGTTATAGAAGAAACGGAACTCTATTTATATACACAACAATGATGAACGTATGCTATATACAAGAAATAATTTCATCCTTTTTACACCGAATAATTATATCTCTCTCCCCGGTCGCGACTTCTCAACATTTTTCAACGTGATTTGGGACTTTCTTATTTTATAAAACATTATTTTATCAACAAAATTACGAATTATTATTCCTCAGTAATTTCGAATTTCTTACATACGTAATTCTTCCATGAGACATTCGAAAATGTTTGAAAGACGTCGTCAGCCGTTAAATCGCGCATCGCGTTTTCTTTCCGACGGTAAAAAGTAATGTCAGGCGCAAAAAGGAACGATCGTTTCGAGCGATATTTTGTGAAATATCGCGGATATGTTTTGACAGCGGTGTCCCCGGTTATATTTTATTGCATCTGGCTGGTCGGTGATTCCTGCTTCAATTCGAGGGCCCACATGTGCTGCGGCCAACCAGTCCGTCCTTTGCTCTTCGTCGGTTCGTCGTGGCCGAGATTCGAGGCGGATTGCAAACACGATTCATTCTGCGAAGAAACAAAAATACTCGATGACATATGTGCCTCCAACAAGTATTAATCTTGTTTCTAATCCAGCTAATGTGTAGTATGTCGCGTCAACTTTATAAAATCTAGAATGCTCTCTTTCGTTTCGTTTTCAATTTATTGTTAAACGTAAAATTAAAGGATGGAGGTAGATCTGACAAATAATTGTCAGACAAATTGATTTAATTGTAAGAGACAAAGAACGTCAATTATCGGACCACGCGAGTGAGAATTATAGCGACTTTATTGAAGAAAGGAAATTCCACGTGGGCGGTAAACGTACAAAATGAAGAAAGCCACAAAATATGGGTTCGAGGCAATCGTTTCTGAAGTTCAGAATTAGAAGAGGATTGAACGAGAAATCAAATCAAATTTCCTTTGTTTCCTCGTAATAATACTTCCTACCAAGTTCTTTAAAGGCAATGACCTTCCGATCGACTCAAAGATTCCATTATTTGAATAAAGTTGAACCCGGATAATTTTTTAAATGTTCGAAGCAATAAAATCACAATAAAATATAAAATACAATAATAATTGCAATAATCAGTTAACTGCAGTATGCTTATTATTTAATTGGATTGAGTCATTTCTTATTGTACATGTAATATTATGCCATATCAATTTAATTACAATTATGTCAATACAAATTTCAACAAAATTTTTCCGCAATTTTTGGTTTTATCGGGTTTTATATAATAATTTTATATAATAATAAAATTATATGGCAATATACATATATATATATATATCGACATGATTTTTAACAAAGATGACACAATGATGGCTTTAAAGATCGAGTTTTCAGACCGAACGTAATTATAGAGACGAATGTTTACGTTGGAGCGACGCTTATATAAAAGCGTTTTGAGAGATTTAAGAAAATCCGTCTACAGGAATAATTTATCCTGAAGAACTTTTGAACTCGCGACCGAAAGCCGCCGCATGCAGTCTCGAGTAGCTCTCGAAATTCTTTAGAACTTTTCGGAAGAATGAAAAATATCTCACTAGTTCATTCTCGAATATCGAAAATGAACTAAAAACAAGAGACAGAAAAAGCGAAGATAGATAAGCAGAAATATGTTAGCGCTATCTTGTTGTGAGTGTATATTTTTAACAAGAACTATTAGAACGTTAAGTTGTTATATTGCCTTATCAATCGCAAAATTTACGTTATTTTTTATATAAAATTATTGATTAATTTAGACAATTATTATATAAAAAAATATTTGTCATCAATTTATGATTTCTACTTTTTTTAACGCAAACATTTCGCGAAATCTTTTTTTAATCTTGCTTTTAACGAATTTTTTTTAGGTAACAGAATAATATTTCATATTTATTTCTTTCTCTGTAACACTCATTATTTGTTTTACTATAAATAAATTATACAGAGTATTCTAGCTAGTAAATTTATAATATAGCAATAAATATCATGAAATAGTAATTGCATAATTGACTCACAGAGAAAATATAACGGTAGCTAATAACTCACGATAATATTAACTAAACAAGATTTTTTATGTATAGAATTAATATACTAATATATAATTAAATAAACTATTTTATAGTTTCAATAACTAAATAATAAATAATACTAAATAATTGAATAAACTATAACAATAGTTAATTCAATTATTTTATGAAACTTTTATAGTTGTCATCTTTGTAGTTGCCATCATTATGTCTTTTTCTCTGTGAGTGTACTATAATAGTAATAGTTTTTAGTAGTAGTAATAGCATATTTATCGCTCCTTTTGGAATTATAATTATTTTATTAGTTAGACAACAAAAAACAAGAATAAAAAAAGCTGTATAAAACTGAAAGCTATCATATTTAAAAAATCTACCCTACTACTTTTTAAATTGCACACACTATAGGTCTACATCTTATATCATAAGTACGCGTTAGTCTAAAACCGCTTGGGTTACCCTTTTCTTTACAATCTTATATTCTACTTTCATACTCTCATACACATTTTTGTAATACACCTCTCATACATCACATTTTCTCTCTCATTCACACTCCCCATCCCACCGCTTTCACTATCCCCTCCAACTCCCTTCAACCCTTTCCTCTCACTTTGTATAATTAATAATAATTAAGTTATTTACTTGATTAGGCTGTGCCGCTTTATTCCTCCTGCCATTCGAGAGAATCTCCGCGCGGAAGGTCTGCGGTTCCTCTCCCTCGTCGCTTTCCAGCACCGCCATCAGATATCCAATGTAGGACGCGGCTAGCCTTAAAGTCTTGATCTTTGATAATTTTGTATCCGAGGGCACGTTAGGAATGCATTCCCTCAGGTCAGAAAAGGCATTATTGATGGATTGAGTTCTTCGTCTCTCCTTCTTGTTCGCGGTGTTTCGCCTCTTCGGCCTGGGCGCCACCACGCCACCCTCGCGAACGTCCTGATGAAGATGCTGCTGAAGGGCATCGCCAACAACCTGCTGGCCAATCGGAGCGCTCGCAAACTCATGCTCGCGTCGGTGACTAGACTGATGATGGTGATGGTGTGGATGATGGTGATGATGGTGGGGCGACGTTTCCTGTTGTCCGTGGGGGTACGGCAAGGTGGTGTAGTGCTGACCGGCCGACGGGTGCACGTATTGCTGCAGAGGTGAATAACTTGGCTCCTGGACGCCGATCTCCTCGATAAGGGGTGGCGTCGACGCGGTGGGACTGCCGGCCCCCGAGCTACCCCCCGAAATACCGGAATCCGCGCCCCAGTACGTGGACTGGCTGTCGGCATCGGGAACCGTGCCGAGGGGTCCTGTGTGCAGAAATCGGGGCATATCCGCTATTTTTGTGTAATCTACAGATGCACTGGGTGTATCGGTTCTTAATAATTCTTGTGAAAATCGCTCGCGTAATATATGGTAAATAATTTTGCTAAAATTTTGTTAGATAGAGATCTGAAAATAAGTATTGTTGGATATTTCAAAAAAATTATTTTAGAAAATATAATAAAGATGATTTTGATATTCTAGTATAATTATTTTCATCCGTTTTAACATAATTTTTTTGATGACTCAACAAAATTTCTTTTTAATCTGTATTTAACAAAATTTTAGATCCTTCAGCAAAATCATATTTTCTAGTATGGTTTTTTTTAATAGAAAATTTATTTTTTTTTGCAATTTAGAATATAGTCAAATATGAGAAATAAGAAATTTGCAATAAGAATATAGTCAAATATAAGGATATTTAAGAAATAGTGATTTCTCTAGCCTATAATATATTCTATATTAAAGAATTTAGTAATACTTATTATTATTATATTTTGATGTTTTAAAATAATTAAACTACGTAAAGTTTAAACTTAATTAGTTTTCGTTGAGCTTTTCCATTTATTGAATTTTCGTATTTACTTCAAAAAATAATACTTTAAAAATAAACAATATTGCAATTTAAAGTATAATAAACCCTCTCTTAATTGCTTATCAAAATAGTAATGTGTATATCTATACACATATCTTGTAATGCTCTTTGTTAATACGTTATAAACAAGCAGAAAGTTTTTTCTAAACTTTTTCTAAAAAAATATTCATATTATTTGTATATTTATACGCGCGCGTGCACACAATAGTTTTTTAAAGTAAAATACTAATGTAAAACATTGCGTTATGACACATACGTTGAATTATTAATAAATCATGTGCGTAAGATACTTAGAACAAAAAAAATACATCATTTGCATAAGAAATTATACTCTTATACTCTGTTTATTCATAAATCTTTTGCATTCTGCAATTAATTATTCTTTCATTAAATGCTGTTTTATCTGCATTACGCTGTTTGATTTACTGTTTTTTTTCGTCATCAGTATATTATAGATATTACTTGAACATTGAATTAATAACGAATTAATATGATAAGAGAAGTAAAAATGTAAATATACACGCAACCTCCGCGTGCAAACTAGAAAATCGAGTTTTACCTTCACGGAATTTTTCCATTCTTGAAATTACGTAAATAGATTATCTCATTAGGCGCGTATATTATTGTACATAAAAAAATAATAAAATAAATATGATCCATGATGCAATACGTAGAATGTGAGAGAACGGCTAAAAAAAATGACGATATTACAGTGAATCTGAAGCATTTTCTAAATTTAGCTTGCAAAAAATGCACGCAAAAAATTAACAAAAATTCATGTAATTTGGAAAATTCCGTAAGAAACGTTTTTTGTCATAGGACTCAACATAAGACACGTCTTTTTATATTTCTTTAAAATTTTTGAAATTTATCTACATTTAGTTGCCTTATGTTTACAAAACGAAATGAAAAAATTTAGATATATATTGTACATATGTATATATGTTTAAATTTTTCTATTTTAAGAATCATGCTTATGCTTGGAACCAGTACTCGTTAGTTTCGAAAAAGACCGTACAGGAGAAATGCGCTCTGCTTTGATATTCTAATTTTAGAAGTAATTGATCTTGTTAATTAGGATTAGCGTGCGTGTGCACTCACCGTAGGGAAGTTGAGTGACATAATTATATGGTTGATGCCACTGCGGATAATACTCTGTTTGCGCCTCGTATCCGCCAAGCATGTTGCCTGATATTATCACCGTGTCAGGGTCTTTAAGTTTGTCACAACTTCACACAAAACGTTCACCTCAAATTCTCGAACTTAAATTTGTTGTCAATCAGTTTATTATATTTTATTTAATTTAGGCTCAATTATTTTATTGTATTTATATTAATATTTCGTTATTTTCTAATCGCGAAGGCCTTTCCGACACCTTTTAGAGGAACAAAAGTCGTCGTCCGATTGTTATGTTTTATTATTTTTGTTTATTATACATCTCAAGCATGAAGGTCTCTCCAACTTGCACTCGAACTTCATCTGAACAAATTTATCGACGATTTGCTTATATTTTGTATATTGATAAAAACACAGATTATTTTATTTTTCGACGATCTTTTTAACTTCCACTTGAATCTCGTCCGACGAAGCGAAAGTTATTATCGATACGTATTATGTCTCATATTTTCTTATCTTCGATCAATCAATTTCTTGCTCGCGTCCGGGTAATCGTGTCGCGAGCTTTCAGCGCAGGCCTGTCACTCGACTCGCTAAGCCGAAGCTAGTCGACGCTATATTTGCGCTCGGCTGTCGAATAGCGACGATGCAGTTTCGAATGTTGCAGTCAAAGGGACACTGAGAAAGCGGACAGTTCGTTGCGGTATCCGATCTGCCGTACCCCCCGTTGCACGATGCGTAAGTCCCCCTAGAGCTGCCTCGCCGTCGGTGGTAGCAGCCGCAAGTATACGGGTGGGTGTACCCGCGTTTAGAGAGACCTGTCGTGATGCCGACCCCGTCAAAACGGGCGGGGCTCAGTCTGGTCTACGCCCCTGAGAGGGTCCCGGGATTCAATTAGTAAATTGAGGGAGCTCGCGCCGTCGACGGCCGGCGAAGTGGGGTATGATTTAGGGTATGACGTTCCTCGGTGCAGGCGTCCTTCCTCCGCCGCCGCCGCCGTCGACCGCCAACACGATCCGCGACGTATATCGCCATCGCCGTCGTGCTCTGGTCTTTTTGCCAATCGACTTCAGCGAACGCGAATATACTCCGAGCTGCCGGCTCTTCACGGTGTAATAATATTAGCCGCGAGATATCGGCGAGATAGATCTAAAGAGTGTGAGGCTGCGACGTAAGTTAGACGAGAATGCGTGGTGCCTCGAGGGAAGGGATGGAGAATTCCCTGTATGTCGTTTAAATCGAATGGAGGCGAAATATTTTGTCAAGGTGTCCGCCAACTTGCGGATGTGAATGAAATATTTTTCGAGTTAAATATTTTTGCAACTTATGCCATTCTCACGAATGTAGATTAACTTTTTATCGCAGTTTAACTCACTCCTCATCTTTTTTTCTAATTCTTAGAACTGGAAAAAGATGAAGAGGAAGTTGAATCGACATTAACGTTAATCTATAATACATTCGTGGAATTAATGTTGTGCATTAATGTTCTCTGAGAGAAACTTGATCTCTAATAGATCGGATTCAGTGGATGCACTGGTATATACGCACTGGTGGGTATTAAAGCCGTTATACAAGTTACTGTAGAACTGTAATGAATAAATAATGTCGAAATAAGGTACATCCTCTTTATTGCTTTATAATAATCAAAATTAGTTATTACATTAAATGTTTTGTTCAAAATGATGGCCTCCAGTCCGGAGACAAGCATTGCACCTATCAATGACAGAACGTGTGGCTGACTGACATTGTGCGTCCGTAATTTCTTGGCACGCTTGCTCAATTCTTTGTTTTAATGA